TGATGCCAAAGCCAACAGTTTTATGAACATTGCTCTTGCTCTGTTGAATGAGAAAACCAGCAAGGACTACCGAACGTGATGGAATAATTGGTACCACAATGAGCTAATTGAAATGGTGAGCTCACAGGCAAGTTTAATCTGCAACGGCAAGAAAGTTCTTTTGCCTCCAAAAGTTGGCTTCAGCCATAGTTTCCATGAAATCTGCTTCAGAACAGAACTCTTGGAAACTCTACATGTTTTTTTAATTCCCAAAGGAAGAGAGACAACATTCAATCAGAATAACTTCATGATTGGCTTGGATAATGGCCCCTACGTGAATTGGTCATTTTCAGAAGTTGAAAAATCCTAGACTGGCTTCCTTCTGGTGTCCTGCACACTTCTATGCTCCCTTTGGGTGGAAATGTCTAATGCATTCTCACTAGTGTTACTAATTTGATAATGATTCCTTAAGTTCATCCAGTGTCACTATAGAAGGTGGGCATCACAGAAGGAGGTGTACAGGCCACCCAGTGTTTCTGTCCCTTCCAAAATTCATGTTGAAGCACTAACCCCCAATGTGACTGTATTGGAATGTAGGGTCTGTAGGGAAGTCATTTAGGTGAAATGAGATCATAGGTAGGGCCCTCATCCTATAGCACTGGTGTTCTTATCAGAAGAGACACCAGAGGCATGCAGAGTTCTCTCTTTCTGCCCATACCACTCACTAAGGAAAGGCCATGTGAAGATACAAGCAAGAAGGCAGCTGTCTGCAAGCAAGAAAGAGAGCCCTCACTAGAAACTGAATTTGTTAGCACCTTGATCTTGGACTTCCAGATTCCAGAACAGTGAGAAAATAAATGTCTGTTCTTTAAGCCACTCAGAACAGAATTGAGGTATTTTGTTATAGCTGCTGAGCTGACTAAGACACCCAGTCTATGACGTGATTGTTGCAGCCCAAGCAATGTACAGTGCACGGCATGTACAACGTGACCCTGTCTACCATGCATGCTCACGTACGTTATTTCAGTACGATGTTCCTAATAGCCCTATAAGCCAGCGCTGTGATGTTGCAGAATGAGTCAGATAAAACCCATCACTTCCTAGCTGCAGGGTCTTGAGCAAGGCCCTCAATTTCTCTGAGCCTCAGTTTCCTCCTGTAATAAATGTTTATCAAGTTGGCTAACTCCATTCTCTGCACGAAATCTAACAAGACTCAGTAGTGTTAAGCCTTTTTCATCCACCATGAAGTAACTCATTTCATGGTTTTTTGCATGTGTTTGCTAATTTCTAAATGTTCAAAAGGAATAATTAAGTGTTGGTTTCTTTAATTAAAGAGTAAAATACTAGAAAAATGTCTGTTGCTATTGTGGTGAGGGTTTCTCTGCCTCCATGCCTGAAAATACCACTTCCTTAACCCTCGAGTGTTTTGCTGAACTTCATGGTGACACTTCTAAGTCTGTCACTGGGCATGGGGCTAAAGCTAATAGCCACGGCTTCTTGGATGTCTCTTTGGGTCATTCTAACCGTGCTTTTGTCAATAGTCCCAGAAAAGCTAACAGAGAGTTCATGGATCAGATTAATATCAAAAATAGAACTCACAAAAATAATAATCAATAAGAAATCATGAGGCATCAACCCATTAACAATAATGAAGAGTAATAATTACAATAATGATAGTAATTCAAATAGATGGAAACTAAGACTTTCAACATATTATCTCAGTAACTCTTTAGGTTAATCCCACTATCCATCCCCATTTTACAAGTGAAGAAACCGAGGCACAGGAAAGCTAAATATTAATAATTTGCCCAAGGCAAATTATTGGCAAGAAATAGCAGATTAGGTTTGAAATGTTCCATGGGACTTGATCACTATGCTGTGTCGTCTCTGCTGCAAAGTCCCTGATGCCTGTCATCTGGGCCATGGGCTTTTAGTTCAGGTTAATCTCTCTCCTATCCCCTTGGGCAAGTAACACCACCAAAGAGACCTGATGTGGGGGGGGGGTTCCCACATACTTCTCTAAGCGATGCACAAGCGTCATTTCCATTAGCAGAAATCCTCCTGAAACCATTCTGTTGGATAAAACCAATCTGCATGGTCTTGATTTAAAAATATAGCAAACACCCTTCCAAACTGTTTGAATTAACGCTAGGATTAACAAAGCCAAGTCTGTATAACCAGCCTCCAGAAAGACGGAATGCTGTCTCCTCGAGTCTAAGTGCTTTGTAATCAATAATCTACAAACCAAACAGAGATGTTACCTGTTCTGCAAACAGCAAACAGGCAAAATTCCAAGAGGCCGGGAAGGGGGCAAATCATGCAGAGAAACTACTCCCTGCTTCTCTCCTTCTAAAAGCACTGGCTGTTCTCAGGGGCCCTAAAACTCATTTCCCCCCTGCAAGTGCATAGAGGATGCCAGCAGCATGAAATGAGCTCTGGATCCTTCTAGAAAGTGACAGCCTCACATCCAAATGTCCACAAAGATTGCTCATGACAAGGAAGGAAAGGGGGTGGGTAGCTGAGGGAAGCTTTCAGCAGGTTTGTGGACCGAGAGGATCAGCAAAGAGAAGGGAGTAGAAGATACAAGGAGAGAGGAGGAAATTGATAGAGAAAGGGTTCAGGACAAGTGAAAGATGCGCTCCAGTGCTTCAGACAAAGAATTTATAAGGGGGGAGACAAGCAGCATTTATTTATTAGAGATAAGAATGAAGATGAGTGGAAATGTGATTTTTTTTTTTTTTACATAAAGAGGAAGATATCTGTGTCAGATGGCCTCAATTTTCTCAGAAAAGGAATGAGAGGGTTCAGGTCTGGTCGAAGAAAGATTGAGGAGTGAGGAAAACGTTTTAGACCAAAAGTCAATTAGGAAGGGCTAAAAGGATTGCCAAGTAGAAATCACTGCAACACTAAGCTGGAAGCGCACGGTTTGCAGCAGACTGCCTCGGAGCAGAAGACACGGGCCTTACTCCACTGCCACTGAGTTGGGTCAGGCCTCAGACCTGACTTTCCAACTGAAACCTGTCCTTCTGTGATCTCTCCAGGCTTCTGTGATTTACCTACGCTTTGCTTGCAAGATAATCCAAGATCCTCAGAGTGACACACAGGCCTTTTCCAACCTGGCCCCCACTTAAATCTCTAGCATCATTCTTTGCCTTCTGCACATTGAACTGACTGCAGTTCCCCCAAGGCCCCAGGCCCGTTCAGTGCTTCTGGGCCTCGGATCACAGGATTCCCCTTTAACATGTTTTCTTTTGAATGTCTGGAGAGCAACATTCATTTTTCAAAAGGCTGCCTCCTCCAAGAAGCCCTCCAGGATCACCTTAAGGCAAAACTGATCACTCAGTCTCTCCTTTTGACAACCTATCTGTTATGCCCTGTATATGCTTGCTAACATCACATGGCACTTCATAGCTCATCAATTCTAAGATGCATGGTGGTTTTTTTTTTTCACATTTTGAAAATCCCTGAAGTTAGCGAGGTGGGTGTCTATAATCCCAGCTACTCTGGAGACTGAGGGAGGAAGGAGAGCCCAAGAGTTTAAAGCTGCAGCGTACTATGATTACACCTGAGAATAGACATTGCACTCCAACCTGGGCAACATAGAGAGACCCTGTTTCTTTAAAAAAAAAAATCCCTGAAATTAGGAAGTAACTTACAATGAATAGTGTATCACAGTTTAATTTACAGGATTTTAAAAAATTTCTTGGTAGTACCAAAAAAACCCACAAAAGGTACATCCTATTAATACATCAGAGAGCATTTGGTGAAATTGAGCTTCCTTTTGTAACTTTCTAAGGTGTGAGAAGTGCTTCTCATGCCGGTTCTCCGCCCCCATTTGGCAACGTCTGGAGACATTTTTGGTCCTGTCAACTTGGGGCAGGGAGCATGCTGCCGGCACCTAGCGGGCAGAGGCTGGGGACACGGTTCCACATCCTACAATACACAGGACAACCCCAACAGCAAAGAATTAGCCAGGCCACAGTGTTGCTCGTGCAGAGCTTGAGAAATCCTGGTGTAGAGAAACAATACTTATTTGGGTGTATACTATGCATTATCGTGTTTGATTTGAAATAACTCTGTTTACGGTGCGCAGTGCACCTCGACACACAGCAACTTTTTCCAAACCTTGGTTTGTACAGCAGGAAGCGCAACCCTTGAGAAGCGCTGTAAGCTTTTCTCATCAGCCCTCCCTGACTCCCTTCTGCTAGACTCCCAAGGGGAATAAAGCAGCGCTCCTGGTCAAAATGCGAAAGCCAGAAGGTCGCAAAGAGATTTGTGACCTTAAACCAATTAGGTTAGTTAATGACGAGGCCAGGACTGAAGCCCAGACGCCCACATCTCCAGGACCGCACTCGGCCTGGGAGGCAGCTGCAACCCTGTTCCCTGCCTAAACTGGCTGACACACTTTGGTACCTTCAGAGGAAATGCGCCCGACACATATGAGCTGGGTGACTTAGCAAGAGTTTAGTACGAGATTCACGCTTCAACACCCGGGACCCACCCGGCTCTCACCCCACTTTATGAGAATTTAGGTTGACTCCATAAGGTCCCTGAGCTCTAGGAGGAATTGGATTTATGCAAAAAGAATTGTGATTCATGCATGTGAAGGCACTTTAAATAAATGTAGATGATTTCATCATACAAAAGGCAGAGGGGACTCTGGGGGCAGGGTTATTAATTTGGAAGGGGGTGGGGACAGCTGTCCTCCATCCCTAGAAGCTGCACGTGCAGAAAGGGCCCTCAGCTAGCGCAGGAAGCTGATTTATGTGAGAGGGAAAGGAGTTCCAGAGGAAGGTTTTCCCAAGGCCCCGGTGCGTCTGGGTTCTGCAGTCAAGGAGCCCCCAGGTGAGTCTGGAAGAGTCCCCAGAGTGTCACCTGGCCCGTCCTTCCCCCCGCAGAGCTAAATCACAGTAGGCAGTTGCTGTCGGGATCCTGCGGCCCCACGGATCTCCATCCTGGCCCAGCAGCCCCGCCCCGCCAGGGACCCTGCGCGCACAGGGGCGGGCCGGGTGCGGACTCACCTTCAGGTGGACGGGAAAGGAACGCTCCTGCTGGAGGGGCCCCAGCAGCGTCTGCTCCACGCTGACCAGCTCCGAGGTCGAGTCCACCACGCGCGCCAGCGCGCTGCGCATCGCCATCCGGGCCAGGGTGCAGGGCCCGCGGTCCCGGGGGAAGGGCAGCAGCTCCGCGCCCCCCTCGGCGCCCCGCACCACCTCCACCTCAGGGGAGCCGGCCCGAACCCTGGCACCCCCGTTCCTGCCCCCCACGCCCCCGCGCCCCTCCTCGCGCCCGGGCCCGGGCCGAGCCCGCAACTGGCCTGAGCGACGGGCTGGGACGGCCGACACGTGATCCGCGTCCCGCGGGCTCCCAGGGGTGCCCGGACCATCCCCCCAGCCCCACTCCTGCTGCAGTAGCTGCAGGGTCTGCAGAGCCACCATTTGGTGGCTGATGGAGGCCACTAAGGGCGCGGGGCTGGCCATGGCCTCCGCCAGCGGCTCGGCGCGCGCCGCGTGCAGGTGGAGCGGCGCGAGAGAGGCGGGGGCTCCGGGGGTCGCCAGGGTCACATTTTTTAACCCGCGTCTCCTCGGCCTCGGAATCTCTCAGCCTGTGCGGCCGGCCCCGCCCCGGCCTTCAATCAGTGGCCTGCGCTGGCCCCTGCCCTGGCTTGGAAAGTCCGAATCGGCTTGTGCTGACCCCGGGGCTGCCTGAAGCGCTCCTCGGTGTGCACTTGAAAATGAGCCAAATGCTGAGCGCTGCTCCTTCTCCTCTCTAGGGCTTTGATGGGGAAACGCGCTGCTTTGTGCGGACGCATCAATCAGCAGGGATACCCCGCCCCCACCTCCTTTGAAGGGCGCCTGCCAATGACCACTTAGGCCCGGGAGCTGGGGGCGTGAAAGACCCACCCGGGGGGCGAAAGTGCAAAGAGCCCTAGAAAAACTCACAAAAGGAAGACTGTGCCAGATTCTCCTGCTCCGCCCCCTTCCCAAACCCTACGGGAATTTTCAGAAATTTCTTGGGGCAGCCTTCAAGGCCTCGCATCACCCAAACAAAACTAGAAGGACTTGTCTCAAAGTTCGGCTCTTCTCTGCTTTGTCCCGCGCCCGTGTGCGCGGAGGGCCTAGTCACTGAGGCGGCATCAGCGCGTGGGGCGCGGCCTGCCCCTGGTGCCCAGGCCTGGCTCTGCCCACGCGAGGAGCCCAAATGGTTTCGTGTGAAACTCCCAAAAGACTTAGGCAGCAAGGTCGAAGCTAAATCCTTTCATGAGCCATGAACCCAGGGACAACTGTACAAATAGTTACTGGTTTTAATTAAACCTAACATGGCTACTTTCCAAACTTTAGGGGGAAAAAAAAAACGGGGACTGGCAATTTTATGTTTTGATACATTGGGAAGCATTGCTGTGGGATGGGGCTTAAGAAAAAAAGACATTCAAGGGGAAGAGTACGGAGTTCTGTCCCAGAGTTGCACTATTTCTGCTTTCTGTCTGCGAGGAACACCGTTAGCTGAGCCCACGGCCCAGTCAAGCAGAGGCAACGGTGCCAGCCCGAGGCAGACAGGTGAGCCCGGCAGACCCGGAGCATGGGATTTCATCCTTCCTTTAGAAGCAAGACTCCACCCTTGGTGCCGTGGAGTCGGATCTGGACAGACCGTGTAGTGGAAAGGCGACTCGGGTGAGCCTGTTAGTGCAGAAGGATGATCGTAAGAGAGATGGAGAGGGGTGCGGGCTCCTTTAAGGCCTCTATAACTGTGGGGCAGTATGACCGCATATAATCCTCCCAGCTCTCCAGCAAAGCTTCCTCCTTGTTCTCTTCTCACTGTTTTCTTCGCCTATGAAAACAAACCTGAACGCCAAGGTAAAGAAAACTTTTCTTAAAACAGAAACTGAGCATGTTCACACTAATTATAACTAAGTACAAATGCATGTCTGTGCATTGACAGAGGGGAAATTACTGTGGAGGGAAGTAAATAGCTTAATGTTGATTAGATTCTCTTGCCATGAAGTTACTTACGTTCATAATACAAAAATGGAGAAATTTTTCTCTAGTTTTTTAATCCCCAAATGTTGAAGTGCATTAGGTTCAGCAGAAACTAACCAGCAATAGCAGAAACTAACCCGTAATTTTCACAGAGCATTGCAGATCTCCAGGGCTGCTCCTCTTTCCAGATACACAGGAAATCCAGTTTCATGGGCTAACCCTTCCACTATCAAATGGCTGACTGCAAAACTTTCCTGACAGATGGAATTCCAGCCAACGGCAGAATTGAAATCACTAGACACAGCCTGACCCGAGGCCCCACTGTTCCTCAGACCAGGCTGACGCAGAGCTGTGAGACCAACTGAACTTCAGGGGGTAAGAGAGAAGGGGCCAGAAAGCCTTGGGGCCCAGGGGATGGTATCTGCTGCTTACATAGCAGCCTACGTTGGGGAGCACTGGATCATCCAGCAACTCAATGCTTTGTCTTGGCCATGGGTCACATTGTCCTTTGCTATGATCTTGAAATGGCTTATGTTCCAAAGCCATGTTCATAGGCTATTGAGATGAGTCAATAGCATAGCAGATCCACCTTTGGTCTAAAACACCTCCAAAGTTACGTATGCTGGGCTGCCAGACCAAGTGGCAAATTGCCTGCTCCCTACACACTATACTCACAATTTGAGGCCATTGTATAATAAAAGACACATTCAAAAGGACAAACTACTGGACATCGGATATTTTTGTTTCACAGCATCTGTTTCACTATTTTATGGAGACCATACCCTCATATCTTAGGGGATAGTCCTCTTCCTCCACACTCAGTCCCTGAGATCACATGGGATGAACCTGTCCCTCTGCAGAAGGGGACTGTGTCATCTAGGCTGAGCCCATTCCCACATCACATTCCCACAGTGAATGGTCAGGAATGGGCACATGACCCAGCTGGAGCCAGTGTGACAGCATCATTTAGGATACTTTTGGCTGAATGCACTGCAAAAAACAATGGAACCAAAGCATACAAGCTAAAAAATAAAAAATAAAAAAGCCAAGAGACAAAATAGAAAAAAAGATAAAATTCCTTTTTAATATGAAAACTCAGAATAAAATAGTTTAATCAATAAGAGCAATTTATTGCATCATATCACAAAAAGTCCAAAGGCAGGGTGGCTCCAGGGTTGGTTAATGCAGCAGGTCAATGGTGTCATCATAGCCTGTGGTTCCTTCTGCCTTTCTGCTATGTGGTCCCCAGCACATCAGCTTTGTCCGTGGTCTTTGGGCTAGTTCGATGGCCACTAGATAGCTCCAGTAGCTACTGGCATCACGTCTAGACAACATCTGGAAGAAGAGGCCATCTTTTCCTGTGCATTCCTTCTCAAGAGCAAAGAGACGTTTCCCAAGAGCCTTCATCTGACTTTCTCTCACATTTCCTTGGCTAGAATTGTGTCACATGTTCTTGCCCAATCAATCACACTCAGGAGAGTCTTGGGTGAATCAAAATTCACTCCAGTAATAGGGTATTGGGGAGGGGGCAGAGGGGGGGATGGGCATATACATACATAACGAGTGAGAGGTGCACCATCTGAGGGATGGTCATGCTGGAGACTCAGACTTGTGGGGGGAGGGGGGTAAGGGCATTTATTGAAACCTTAAAATCTGTACCCCCATAATATGCCGAAATAAAAAAAAAAAAGATATAATGACAAAAAAAAAAATTCACTCCAAGCTGGGCTGGGTCTAGCCTCCCTTGAAGACTTTGATTACAGAGAGGATGGAGAATACTTGATACAAATCAAGTTTTTGTTACCAAGTGACAGCAATGCCAGCAGAGCACAGGGAGGCTTTTGCAGGGGCTGCTGGGTAAAGAGCATATTCAATTTCCAGAGATGCTCCTCTTTCCAGATACACAGGAAATCCAGTTGCATGAGGCTAACCCTTCTACTATCAAACGGCTGACTGCAAAGACCTCCATGCAAGTGAAACTGAAAAGAGATAAGTTTTGGAGCATCTGCAGCCATCTTGTGAGTTTGAGGGGAGAGCCTGCCTATCAATGAGCCAACATCCATGGAGAGAAACCACCGTGAGAGAAAAGCCAACAGGTGTATATAGAGAAAGCAGCGGCCCCACAGCACCATCTGGGCCTCCCATTTAGCAGCACAAGACAGCCCCGCCTCTGTGCTTTTTAGTTCTACAAGTCAATAAACTCTCTTTCTGTTTGAGCCACTTTGTGTTGGGTTGACTGCCTCTTGCAACAGAAAGAGTGAGAACTGAAGCAAACAGCATGACATGCGTTTCAGGAAGGACAACATGTTACTGGAGTGACCCTGTGACCCAGTGCCCCTTATCGACAAAGCACTACTAAAAGGTCCCTCTCACCAACTACTTCCAGCAATGCTTTTGCCATTCACCTCACCTCTCTGTTATTTCAACAATTGTGGGAAAAGCTCGTTGAGCAACTGTGGTTGTTCTGACAGTTGACAGGAGCATTTGAAAATGAGCCCTGGAAACAGGCCCCTGTGTGATGTGGGAAGGAGGAGGGAAACGGGTAGAAAGCTCACTGAAGTGAAAAGCATTTTTCCACCTGTTAACAGACAAGGTAGAGTGTTGTTAGATAAACAAGTATTCATTCAGGCACTTCTTTTAATCCAAAGTTTCCTTTCCCACATGAGCAAACGATGCAAGTTCCCATGTGGAATCGTGGAGAAGCCCTGCACGGTGAGAGCAGAAGGGAACTGGCAGAAGGCACAGCTATGGGAAGCCTTCCTCAAAGGACTTGGGCAGAGCCCAGATACCTTGGAGCCTTGCTTATATTCTTTGGCACTTTTCTCGAAAAGGGATCCAAGAGAATTCCAGAAATGGAGATGTTAACCTTCAGCGCACCCTGGTGAAGTTCATAGGTGGGGGCAAAACAAAATATGTCCAAAGACACCAAAGAGTTATTATTCTTGAATGAAAACTATGATTGAGGAGAAACAGCTGCTGAAGAGAAATACCAAGATACGAAAACGTGCTGTAAAAGGGAAAACAATGGAACTAGGAAAAGGTGTAGACCCAAGAAAGAAAGAGCAAAAAAGCTCAAATTCCCTTTTTTAAACATACTATTATAATGTTTGAATATGCCAAGTCATAAAAATAAACGTACATGCCGTTCTAACTTTGGCCTAAACATTTGATTTTCAGGGGGGAAAAAAGATGTAATACTGTCCCCAAATCTCTGAATTGCCAAAAACAATTGTTTACATAGGACAGTGCATTTTCAGGTCGTCTTATATGTGCTGCCTTCCCACATTCTATGAAGGTGGTGAAGCTAAGTGAAGCTTAGTGAAGCCAGTTAGTGAATAAAAATAGGAAACAGTGGGTAAAGGGAGGGAAAGGAGAAATTGAAAATGTTGAATCTCACCTCCTGGTCCAGAGGTAATCTGACCTGCTTTGCCCCCTTGCAATTTGACCCCTCAATGCAAAATGCAATTCTTTCTGGACACATAAATCATTTTACTTGGTACTGTCTTAATAATTGATTATTTGACTTCATCTTAATAATCAGTTTATTGTCAAGAGGAATTCCTGATATTGGTGGATAAAGAAATCAAAATTGGATTTTAAAAGAGTCACTACAATTTTTTTCTAATTGTTGTAGCTTTGGTAGATGGTTAGTTTTTAAGAGCGACAGAATGCAGTGGATTTTCATGCTGCCTACACATCATCTCAACAGGACAACCTTGCTGGATTTCCTCTCCATTTCTGATTATAAAATCTAACTCCTGAAGGATATCTTTTCCCTTGGGGGAAACATTTAAAAGCTGCTTGGTTTCTTCAACTATTTTGATTATCTGTGTAGATATGGCTTATGGTATTGAAATGAGAGGGGGTAGGGGGAAGAGTATTAGTGATAAAAATGGGGGAAAGCAGAAATGCAGGAAGTGTTGCAATGATTTTGCAAACTAAATTCCAGGATCCTTAACCTTAATGAAAAAAATATGACCACCCTTATCACGTTCCATGATCACCCTGTATTTTCAAGTTCCAGTAAGTATCCTTTTAATGTGATTGAAAAAAATACTTGACTTAGGTTGATATACTTAAATAAAAAATATATATATCATCCTAGTCCCTTTCCCTATATTCATCCTCATTCTCTTACATACATTTTTTTTCTTGTACGGAATTTTCTACTCTTCTACCCCAATTTCTTTTCTGTTCAATGGCTGAACAGACATTGGGGTTTTATTCACTCTTTCATTACTCCTTTCTCTCCCTTCTATTAATATTTTTATTAGAGCACCCTTTCCTATGGTAATTATAATGAAAAATGGAGTGAGGAGGGAGGTTTTGGGGCCCACATGGTTCTCCTGTTTAACTTTTGCTACAGAATCACTATGGGTATGTTTATGAAGTCAAAACTTCATACTGGGAGATTCAGTAAAATCTCCAACTCTGAAACCCTGAGTGCAGCAAGGGAGAACTAAACCAGCTTTGAAAACTGGACTAGTGCCTTTCCACATTGGCTCTCTGCTCTAGGAAAACAAGAGAAGCCAACAGATCTGCTTATTTTATTTGTTTGGTCATTTTAATCACTTTTGTTTCAAAATATTATCGAGAATGGTCAGAAGGGTTGAAATAAGGTAAGAGATTTTTAAAAAATAAAGATTGGTAGAACGTGATGGAAGTGACTCATTTTCTTTTTCTCAGGGAAAAAAAATAAAATATTTTAAAACATGTTTACATAAAAATATGATATTGCATATTTTAGCATAAGGAATATCTCTTTTTTAATTCTCATCATCTGTTTCTCTACTATTCACTGTTTGTTAATTAGCAAGTGGAGTCTTAGAGATGCTGATCTGACCATAAAACACAAATGGTCTTTAAAGGTAATCAAATTTCAAGCTTTTGTTCAAAAAATCATATGTAAATTTTATTTGATCTGTACTTTCCATTTGAAAATTGAAACCACATTCAAAATGATCTTTAATGCCTCTGTTCAAATATCTAAGCTTTCTCAGAAGCTTAAATCACAGCCTTTGATGGATCATTCCTAGATAATGGTAGATAATTTGTTAAAGAAGCATTAAGAAATTCTTAATGTCCTACTCATTTTAACTAAAAATAAAATCTCATACTTTGTAGCAGAATGTTAATTTTAATGCACAGTGCTGTTTAACAGTAGCTTATTTTTTAAAAATTTTTGAATAACTATTATTCCAATGCCAGGGTAAAATATATAATATATATGATGGATTAAAAATCTACTTTGAAATCCCTTGTTTACTTACACAGTTTATATTAATACCATCCTTTAAATTAAAACTTTTCTTTAGCTCCCTTAAATTTCCATGCTAATGTTTTGAAATCTCAAATTTAACACTCATAGGGGAAGCAATATAGCATAGAAGACAACAGATTGGGCTCTTGTGGATGACATAAACATCTGTCTGGAAAGTCCAAGAGAATCAACTTAAAAACAATTAGAACAAATTAGAGTTTATTTCAGATATATACAGTCAACATACAAAAATGATTAGCTTTCCTATATACCATGAAAGCCAATTAGAAATGTCAGAGGGAAAATGGTTCAATTAACTCATATAACAACACACCTACAAAATAATTAGAAATAAATTAGCAAGACATTTTCAAGACTTATGTTGAGAAACTATATATAAAAAAATCACTAAAAGTTACAAAAGAAGACCTAAATATATGGCAGAAAATACTCCATTTCTGATCAAATAGTCCATATATTATAAAGCCATCAATTTTCTCTAAATTAATCTAGACACTCAATGCAATTCCAAATAAAACCCCAATGAGATTTTTATGAAAGTAGGCAAGTTCATTCTCAAGTTCATCAGAAGAGAAAGCGTCAAAGTAACTAAAAAAATTCTGAATAGTTAAGAAAAATTAAGAGAAGCTTTATTATATATCAAAACATACTATATAAACTATAGCAATTTTTAAAGTATAGTAATGGTA